TGTTTCCAATTTTTAGCTATTATGAGTAAATGCTACTATAATCATTCTCGTAAGGGTCTTGTGCACATGTGCACACATCTCTGATAAGAATTTACAGGGAGAGTAGCTGTAAAAAGGGTAGGCTTTAGATGTAATGAGAAACTGCTTGTAAAAGGTACCAACTTTCACTTTACAAGCAGGGTAAGAGAGTTCCTATTACTATATGTTCTCATCAACACTTGTGATGGATACGCAGTGATTTTGAGATTTGGCATTTCCCTGATTATTAATTGGCTTAAACACTTTTTCAAATGTTTATTGGTCCTTGTTTTTCAGTTATCTTCCCCATTTTTCTATTGTGTGGTCTGCTTTTTTCTTATAAATTTGTAGGAGTTTCTATATAATCGTGTAAGAATTTTTTATAGACTATATTGGTTGCAAACACTTACTTCCATCCTGTGGCTTGCTTTTCCACCTCTTAATGGGGCCTTCTGATGAACATATGTTTTTAATTTTAATATAATCTTTTCACTTATTATGAAATTTTTTGGTTCTATTAATCTTTGCATACCTCAAGGTCATGAAAATATTCCCCTGTATTATCTTCTGAAATCTTTATGCAGTTTTTCCTTTCACATCTACAAACTAATTTCATCTGGAAATGGTTTTCGTTTATGGTGTAGGTAAAGTTAAGTTTCTTTTTTATTATTTGGAAATACAATTGTCCTAGAACCATTGTTTAAACAAACTTCCTCTTCCTCTGTCATAAATCAGGTGTACACCACTTTTGTCATAAATCAAGTCTCCAGGTAGGCCTGGGTTGGTATATGGTTTTTCTGAATGGTTCCAATGGTCTATTTGTCCATCCTTTTGCCAATAGTATACTATCTTAAATTACTTTAGCTTTATTGTAAGTCTTGAAACACTGTAGTTACTAAATCCTATGATGTTATACTGCTCTATTTCAAGATTGTCTTATTTATTCTTGGTCCTTTGCTTTTCTGTATAGTGACAGAACAAACTTTGGTCAAATTCTTCTCCCCACCAAAAATAAAAAATAAAAATTGGTTGAGATTTATAGTAGAATTACATTGAATTTACAGATATATGAAATTATTCAAGAAAAATTGACATATCGATAATACTGAATGCAATGATGACTAAGACATACTTTTCCATTTTTCACATTTTCCTGCATAAAGGTCACACACATTTCTTGCTAGATTTATTCCTAAGTATTAGATATTCTTTCATACTTTTGAAAAAATATTTAAAATTTCATCTCTCAGATATTTGTTGTTGATAAAGAAAAGTGCAATTGATTTTCTTATATTGACTTTGATTTATATGATTTCATCAAAATTGTTAAATTCACTTTATAATTTATCATAGATTTATTTACATTTGTATGAATACAATCATATCCATTTACTGAGTTTAGTTCTTTCTTTCAAACCTAATGCCTTTTCTTTTTCCTAATATATCCATTTAAATCTATAAATATCCCTATATTACTGATTTAGCCATATTCTACAAGTTTTATTTCTAATATTTTTGTTATCGCTCAGTTCAAAATATTTTTTTATGTCCATTATAATCTCTTATTTGATTAGTAAATGCTACTATAATCATTCTCGTAAGGGTCTTGTGCACATGTGCACACATCTCTGATAAGAATTTACAGGGAGTTTTAGAAACTCTCAAACTGCTTTCTACAACTGCCACACAGTTTTACATTTTTACCAGCAATGCATGAGAAATCCAAGTTCTCCACATCCACATC